AAAGTTTCACCACTAACCCCATTTTGACTCTCTCAGTATAAACTGAAATGTCAAAGGAGCCCAGTCTCTCTAAAATTCTGTACATCTAAGTCTGAAAGGAGAAAACAAATGAAAGTCGAAGACCTGCTATGTGATCCTACAGGTTTTACGTTGCTTCTGCTGTTCAAACCTGTAAAATCTCTTCTAATTTTCCTGCCTCTGTAAATAAATTTTATGGTTCACACTCTGATGGCAAACTGAACATCTTTGAGAGAGAGTGAAGGTCTGCCTCCTATTGCCAATACTATTGAGAAGTATTGTTTTCTTTCCATAATGCTTTCATGCTCCTTTTTTCCTTCTCACTTTTTTTCCCATTGTCTCTTTAACTGACATGTGTTATGTTTATGCTTTCTGGTTTTCTGTAGCAAACAACATTGTCCCATCCATTATCTTCCTGTTTGCCTCAGTTATACTCATTCTCATCCTTTAGATCCAGTTTCCAGTGAAGAAAATAATCATTTTGTCCTCGTTCTGGCAAGATTAAATCAAAAGCCCTAATGTTTTTGCAGGAAAAACCTTACTCACATGTAAAAAATCTAATTTAAATTAAAAATGGGCCATATAATTCCCTTTCTTACAATTAAAACTCACTGATATTCTAAGTCACAAAGAAAAGTACATAGATTTGGAAGGTATTTGTGTTTTTCCTATTTTTTCTACTAATGGTATCATTAAAAGTTAGAAGTCTCTAAGTCACTTGACTCCAACTTTTTGCAAGTAGTGATAGGTGTTTTACTATCATACTGATTTAAAAGAGGCCTCTTAATCAGGTGTCATCTTTGGCCCATAAAGTCATATTAATGTTTAGGATGGGATATGAGGCTCTATCTTAGGCACATTAAGCAAGATCCATTAGGAACTCACTACCACTGGAATTTACAGCCTTCCTGTAACACAATACCCTGGATAAATTTTTCTGTATCTGGTATATGTATGTGAATTTTAGCAGTTTTGCATTTGACAGCTTTTTAGAGTACAGGTTATTCTGGTGTCTTTATTCTTATGATCTTTCAGTCGGGATATACTAACATGCCACATACCTATCTGCCTAGGCAGTAACATGACTCCACATCTGTTCCATAACTCCATGTTAAGGCACATGCCATGTCACTGTTTTAGCATTCTAGTTGTTTTTTTGTACAGCACACAGCACAAAGGGCTCATTTCTATTAGGTTCTCAAAATATTATGGCAGTAAAAATAATAAATTCAGGAACTTCTAGCAATACGCAGTTTGAATCCCTCTGAACAACAGAACTCTGCATTTCTAGGCCTTGAGCAGCGAATCCTCGTGAGTTCATGTATTTGGAGCTAATTCGCCCACACTAAAAGCATAATATGATCTTTCTACACAAATGCAGCCTGATGTTTCCTAGGCCAGTTTCATTTTCACCTAACTGAATCTATCCAATAAGGGTAAGAGTAATTACAATGCCACTTGCAAAGAAATCGTAAGTAGAATCCATGATGGAAAAGGTATAAAAACAAAAGACAGCTAGTGTGCAGCATTGGCCTATGAAGTTATCTGTAGGTGCCTAAAGATTGGGACTTTGCCAGTCTAAATTCTACCCAAGTTTGTACTGCCTAGCATTTCCAGATGAGTTAAATATGAAGTCAGACGGAATGAGGTAAGAGGAAAGAACAAGATTTGGGTGGAAACTATGTCAATTAAATGGGAGCTACTGATTTTATTTCATTAAATTGATTCTCCTTGCTTGGATGAGGCAGTGCCTAAGTATTTAAATATTAACTGTGACTAACCAAGAACTATGACTACATCTGACCCTACTACCATACCTCTATATAACTAACTGTTGTCTATAAAGCACAGTCACAACTGCTGTTTATAAAGCAGAGGGAACAGCACAGTCACATCCTCTGTAGATATATAACTATTAAAAAAACAGGCTTCCTTTCCTTCCACTGGCAGTGTTAAATCTTCATTTTGGCTGAAGACAATATCATATGAAAAAAGGAATGCTATTTCATTTTTACAGTCCAGATTTCGATTTTTCATACTAATTACAGTCTTTACTGAGATCAAACTGATTGGGTATCACAAGGAAATAAATTTTAATTTCATATAAAACATTTCATAATTAGAGTTTATGTCTGTTTTAAGCACCGCATTAAGAACTCACACCCAAGTTTTATGAATATAAAGCATAAATTTATTTAAATATTTGTATTCCAATAGATTAAAAAAGTGTGAATTCCTTAAATCTTAACAAAAGCAAACATATACATCTCTGGAGAAATCATAGTGAGAAAAGAGGGATTCTGGAGAAGAGATTTCTCTATCAGAAATGTAAAAAGAAGCATCAGGAAATTAGAAGTGACCAGTCTGACCTTTTGTATAAATAACAGATAGACTCACAGTACAGAACTGGCTCGAAAAGTACACACCATTTCTCACAAATTTGGTAGTATCCTCTGATGCAGATCCTGCTGCAAGAAAGGATATTAAAGACAACAAAATGACAGCATAAATCCACTTTTACTAAAAGTCAGAAACAATACCTTTGCAATGGGGCTGCAATAAAGGAGACGTTAGAGTACATGTAAATTTCTATGTCCACCTTTGACATACTGCAGTATCAAAGACATTGAAAATATAAAAAGTTCAAGAGTCTGTGAATGACAAATGAGTCTAAATCCCATTTAAAACTGCTAATGGGAATTCAAATCAGCAAGCCAGATTTACAGAAGTATTTCCATTCTTTTTTTTTTACATCAGCTAAACCAGGCATTTTTATATGCCAGGCAGCTCACCACTGTTAATTCCAGACCCACATAGCTATATCAATTTTGGAAATGGAGCATTTTTCCTAACTTACTTCATTGCTTTTAGCTTAGGAAGGTAATGTGAATGATTAACTTGTTTAGAAAATTAACACGGAAGGCAATAACTCCTACCTAAGGAAAGATAAGTCATAGGATCATTTGTAGCAACAGTGGGAAGAGAAGTCTCAAAATCTGGTAAGAGAGCAGAAATACAAGAGCAAAATGAAGAGATAAAAATTATTTATCTGTGTTCTACTGTAGTCTCTGACAGCAGTTTTGCCTTGCTCCATATGGGTAGCTGAACAAATTATCTTCTCCACAATGTGAATTCTTCCACAAAATTTGAGAGACTTCCATAAGCAAAAGAAAAACATTTATTTTGCTTTACAATCATTTACCCCATTCCAGCAGTATCTCCTCTCCTAGATGTGCCAGGTTGGATTCTCTGTCACAGAACAGGAGATATTGCTGCATCCAGAAAATTTGGTTTTGCAATTTGTAAAAAGATATTATTTTAACACAAATAAAATTGAAAGAATGAAAAACAGGACAAACAATTTTGGATGTCTTGAGTCAGTATTGGAAGATGTGTGATCTTTCTGATCAGACTGTTGGCACTGTGAGATATGAGCTATTTATTTTTCTTGTGGCATCTTGCTCTATGACTAAAGACCTCCGGCAGAACTAGAGTATAAAAAATAAAAATAAAAAATGAATTTAAGCTCTAGAAAGAGCTAACACCTGAAAGATGCTTTCTATCTGAGTAACCCTACCAAAGGCAAAGAGAAAGATGATATTATGTCTTGAATGTATTTGAGATGCTGCCTCTTTCATTGTTTCCTTCGTATTTTCTGAGATTTTCCCCTATGTCCACTAGCTATGGATAAGTCAGGAAATATTTGAAGCCTACTTTAAGTTCACAAAGAGCTGGAATAGTTCAGTAGAACAAAAAAACTATTAAAATGGATACTTTTTTATTTGATTTACTGCATTTTATGGTCTATTATGTCTCTTACCACATCAAATGTTCAGACAAGTTTAATATTACCTTCAAACTACTAGCTCATCTCAACTGTTTTACTAGCCTGACTTATTTTTATAACATACTAGCTTTATACCCTGAAGTGAAAGGATGATTTTTTTTTCATTCTAGGATAACCAATGTATATATGTCCATTCCATTTCCCTTATAACAAGAGATAGTCTTAAAAATGTGTTTACCCAAACAGCTATTGTGGTATAAAACAAATTAATCTTTTTTGACTGCTACTTTGTATTTTACTCCAATTCTCTTGAAGGCTGTTTCTCACAGATACTGCTCAAGAGAATTCACTCTCAGCTGTGCAGATCCTGTGGAATTATGAAGGTTATGCAGTGTAGTGCACCAATAGTTATTCAAGTGTACTGCGAGCTCGCTGAGTCTCTGAGAACTGAAGGATGGTCCATAGCAAAGCTTTTTTCAAAGATCTGGACTCATTTCTCTGTTCTGTCACTAATTTTAGATTATAGCTCTAAGCAAATCACTTCATCTCCATGAAAGTTTCCCTGGAAGAAGCTCTTAATGCTCTGGAATAAAAGGATCTGACTTCACTCTGCAGTTCCTTTGCTCCAGCGAAGGAGCAAAACCACACCATTATGCACCACACTGTTCAGAAGCTATTTGCTGATCTGTTCTCTCACACCATGCAGTCTAATACCCTAGAGAGAAAACTGTCTGAAATGCCCAGAGTTGGGCTCACCCAGCGACCTGCCTTTCAATGTGATATGAAGACTGACACATTACATTTACCATACTAGTACAAACCACAAAAGCTCTGAACATAAAACATCACATATCTGTCCTTCTCTGCTTCTAGTCACAACCTAAAGCACAAGTATGAGGGGGCAAGGGAAAAATTTAATAGATGGTCACATAATTTCCATGAGAGACATGCAAAGAAACTAGTCTTCACTGCCATTTGTTAAATAAATCATGAACACCTCGGGTATGTGATTTTATTATCAATCAGTCCTGAAATATTCCCTCCTTAATAATAAAATGTCTGGAGGTAGATTCTCTGCAGAACATAATAGCAGGCTTTAACTTTTGACTAGAAGTAGAGGACACAGAAGAACATTTTTTATGTGTAAGTACCCACTACAGATGCCTAATGCTAAACTATTGTTTTTCTTTCACAGGGGAAGACACTCTACATGGCCCTATTTTTATCCAAGAGCCATATGATACCACTTATTCTATAAACTCAGCAAATCCAGAAATACTACTGAACTGTACAGCTAAAGGATATCCTCTCCCATACTACAGGTGAAGTCAACTTTAGGAAAGTGCTGTCTCATTGTAAATCTTTTAGCTGGTTTTAATCAGTAGTACACAGTAAGATACCTTAATGTGGTGAGCACACATGGCCAAAACATCAGTAGCTATGCTTTGTAGCCAGGTTTATTGCTATTCCACGCTACTTGTCTGTAGCAGTATTCACAGGGCCACCTCCACATTCTTTCAGCTAACAGTCCTGGGGAAAAAAACCTCACATTGTCAGTCTTTTGGTGCATTTATGTTTGTTGGCCCTCCTTATCTGGAGGGGTCCCTAGCTGTTCTTGAGAAAGGAGGCAGGACAGCCTCAGGCCCCTCCTAGGAAGACCTTGATTTAGTTTATTTCCAGAAAAGACAGAATTTTTATCAGCCTACAGGGCAGACTTGTCTTCAATGCAGTGTAGAGGTGGTCTTGACACTAAGGCTAAGTGTAGGACTAGTCAGTTCAGGTATGGTATAAGATAACCTGTATCCATACAAAGGGACTTATTCTGAAAGGGACCCAGCACTGAAAAATGTAACAATTTCATACTCACATCTTTTATTTCAAGAAGCATATAGATACATTTCTAATGATATGTTTATGTTATCACATCATTTGAAATCTGTTCATCAGAAATCTGAGGCAAAAAGGGAGAAAAAGAGGAGTGAAACGCTAAAAAGCTACCTAAGTAAATCAAACCTAGGAAAGTAGGAAAAATATCCTTCTCTTGTACTGTTATGGAAATTTACACAGATCAAAAGGCACATCATTGAAAATATTGTAAAACCTACAAAATTACTTCCAAACTCACCAAACAGCTGTGAAAATGTAAAAAAAGCAGTCTTGCTAGACATCTTACCTTTATATGTGTGTAAATATCAGAAGGGAAGATGTAAAGATGTCAGAGCCAGACTCTTCTCAGTGGTGCCCAGTGAGGCAGTGGGTACAAACAGATGAAGAACAAATCTTCATTAATATATCCTACTCCTCTTCTTTAGCTGCTTGGAGAGGGGAATTATTTGAATCAAGTATTGATTAAGTAATACAAATATGAGGAAACCATCATCTATTATAAGTTTATCCTCCTATAAATGAATCTGAAATTATTTAGTTGATTGTAGTCTACATAAGACATAAGTGTTCAGTAAGTCCAACATCAAAGACTTAACATATTTCAGTGGCTTGGAAGAATACTGGCAAGTTTAAATGCATCATGTATAGATGGGCAATGAAACAATTTCAGAAGAAGTAACAAGAGACAGAATATACTACCTATCACTTGAGATCTTTACATTGAGACAGGGGCTACTAATATATGCTCTTTAAGTCTTTAACTTAATAAAGAATTTACAGGGGAAATTTTATGATGTTCTATAAAAAATTGGATTTTAAAGAAAAGGGAACATGAACCTGTCTATGAATTCATAAAACGAATTGTTGCTTTAAGTCTGGACATATCAGTATTATTTAAGAAGTCTTTTTCAGAGAACTACAGAATGCAGCACATATTCAGAATATAAGCTTTTTTTTTAAAAAAAAAAAAAAAAAAAGTTTAGATTCTGAAATGATCGATCCAGGATGTATTTTCTATAATTGATGAGAACTATTTTCCAATGGTTGTATGAAAAAGTTCAGGAAAATGCATAGTCTATCTCTGCCTATCCCTAACTACTCTGTTAAAATAGTCCTTCCATGGTTCTTCTGTATTGAATGGTGTACTGCAAAATACAGGAAGTCATTAAATCATTGTTTATCATAGGAATTCATTAATTCTCTTTCTTCACTGATGTAAATGTATTAATGAGGAAAAAGACCACACCAGGAGATGAACCCCTGATCTATATGCACAATTTAATAATCACTGTATCATAGTGATTAAAATCATTATGGGGATACTGTGAAGAATTCATTTGCTCCAGCTAAGCCAACAACTTTGTATTTGTTTTGAAAAAGAATTATAGAACTTAATTGGGAGCCATGTAATGATGTCAGTGGTTATTTCAGTGATTGATTCTGAAATTAAAGAGAACTGGCAAACTAAATACAAGAATATCCTATATTAAAAAACTGCAAGGTCCAGAGAGTATGCACTATATGTAAATTACGAAGTATGTCAAAATCCTGACTGCTACATACTACTGCTTCTTAGAAAAGGCTCATGGATGGGCAGCAGCTAAAATGCTGCTTGTCTTGGGGAAAAAAAAAAGAAAAAAACTCTGACCAACTACAGGAAAACATAAAAAACAAACAGCACAGAGGTACTCAATGGCAAAAAAAACAGCTGCAATTGGTAGGAAGAAAATATTAGTAGTCCATAGTTGCATCTAAATTTCTTATTGTGGGTTTCTTAACATAAAGGAGGCAAAGATTGGCAGACACAGATAAATTAGTTAATGCTATTCAAATTTGTTCAAAGAATTCAATTTCACATTGTAATCAATCATTTCTCAACTTTAAAAAACAAGCTTCCACTTAAAAGGCCAGGATCTTTCTTCGTACATGTTTGTTCAGATTCCCCTTGGAACACAGACTATTTTTCATCAGTCCAAAAAACGTCTCCAAAAGAAGCTCTGTACCCAGTCTGACTGCACAGCAAAAGTTCTGTCTCTCAAGTCTTGCTAGCACTGCTACACACAGAAATGTCAGATCCTCAGATTCTCCTATGGAAAACAGTCTGGTTACACGGACTACAGTAAAGTTCTAACAGCTGATACCAAGTAGCCTTTTAGCTTCCACTACGTTTACATCAGTGTAAACTGGTAAGTTAACATTTTCTAGGATTACAATTGCTATGAAAGTTTGCTTCAAGGTGTTTACTGTGGAAAGCTGTCTGCTACACTGTTGCCATTGTCAGTAAGTCTATCTCTGCAAAGAAAAAGAAACTTTATGTTTTATTATGATCCTTCAGATAATCACAAGGAGGACAATTCTTGTTTATAGGACTCCTGTAAACCCTTCTGCAAAGACAAAGCGAGGCAGGAGTGATTCTTTTGTTGTCTGTGAATGCAGTCAACAATCACACTGATTTGGGTCATCACACAGGCTGAAGATCATCGTTGTATAACACTAAGAAAAGAAAATACTTGGTCATGTACTGCTAGGATTATTACCATCATGACATATGACATCAACAAACCCAACGACTGCAGATATCAGTAACTGAGGACTGTTATGATTTTTGGGGGCTTCATGTGGGTGACGTAGACTCAACCTTTTTCTCACTACCGTTAAAGCCACAAGAATTTCCCTTCTTAAAATAAATATTTACTTTCTTTAAATATAGATTTTATTTTGACATTTAAAAATAGTTGTGAAATGTTGCAGACACAATCCATTTTCTACTTAATGGACTGACAGAGACAAACAATGCTTTAAAACAGCACCATTCTCATCATTACATCGTCAGTCTAAAACCTGCTATATAAGAACTTGCTATATAAGAACTCTGATTTCCTCTGTCCTTTTAAGTGTAATCCTTCCTAGTTTCCATCTTCACATCATTTCTGTAACCAAATTTATGACATCATTTTCAAGGACTGTAAAACATATTCAGGTACTATTTTTAATATAAAAATACAAGATAGCTAATGTCAAGGCATATCCCATACTCCCAACTGGATGGAAAACTCAGTTTGTGTGAATAAGTTATAATTACTCTTTGTAGACATCTGGATGAACAGTGGTGACTAGCATATAAGCAGTAAAGATTTTTTTAAAGAACAGAATTATTGATATCATTAAGATTGATATAAGAAGCAGTCTTGTGTGAAAAATGGTATGATTTAGTGATATTTAACTACAATTTTATTGTTACAGGTATGCTACAGAATGCTATTTAAGATAAATATGAATAGGATCTGTAAATAATAAACATAATTTGATTTTTTTCCCCTCAAAGGTGGAAGCAAAATGGCACAGATATTGATCTTACCATGAGTTATCACTGCAGGTTGGTTGGAGGCAGCCTGGCAATCAATAATCCACATCAAAAACAGGATATTGGAACACACCAATGTTTGGCCACCAATTCATTTGGAACAATTCTGAGCAGGAAGGCAAAGCTGCAATTTGCATGTAAGCTGGGAAGACTATATTTACTGAAACATTATTTTCTGACTAATTCTGCACATGAGGAATAATACATTAGATAATTAATATGTCTTTGATGATTCTGATCAAAAGGTTTGGCTTACTTCAGTGGTACCCATTCTTAAAAATACCTTTCCTAGTAAATATTACTAATAAATACAGAAGTCTGATATCTGGTAGCACTCAGGAACAAGGATAACTTTCAGAGAACAGAAAGGTCAAGGAAGATAAATGCAATGACTTATACTTAATAAGGGGGTGATTTCTTTGCTATATTGCACATAGTTATGAGTGTGGGTGGGGACTGCTGCAAAAATTTAGGCTTTCCATTCTTTAGCATAAGGAAGTCCAGAGGAGTCATAGAAACACTGTACCCATAATTCTCATGCTGACAGTAACAGAGTAGGAAACATACTCCTTCCTTACCAAGCAAAATGTCTGTAAATGCTTCATATTTCAGTGAGACTTGGTAGAGTACATGTGTTGTCTCGAACCAGTTTAGAGCTCCTCCCCACTTTCTTGTTTTTTTAAAACAGATCTTCCTCACGTCATTTATATGTGGCTACTGATCTATGTCCTGAATAAAACAACCCCAAAACAAAACAAAGCAAAACAGTCCCGAAAACATTTTACCTCCACTTCTTTTTTTCACAGTACAAAGGTCTGAATTGTCTGTTGCTTGGAGAAAGCAGTTGTTTTCCAACCTCATTAAAAAAATATGTGTCTTAAGCCAACCTTGTGTCGCTATTTTAGACACCAGCAAATGTATTAATTATTAATCTTGTTCCATTTCTCATAGCAAATCTCATGTCACTGGGGTTATAAAGAGGAGACATTAGAGGTCATGCTGTTTCAGACTCTCTTTTAGTATATCTGAACAAACTGTATCGTTAGTATCATTTTTTTTTATCCTGAATTTCACAAAGATCTTTTGATTCCTAAGAGCTGGTCAAATAGAAGTTAAAATTTTGATTCATTATTTTTCCACTTTTTCTGAAACTATCCTGCAAGCCTCCTTTTACAGATGGTAAATCATTACAAGACCCAGAGATGAAAACTGTTCAGTTTCAGACACAAGCAGCAAGAGTAAATGGCCTTCTCAAAGTTATCTGTGGAATCTACACTCCACAAGAAACCAGCCCTAGCTAGGAAGAGAGATCAGACCAGGCTTAAAAGGAATTCCGTCTAATGAACACATAAAGGAGGCGCAAAAATGAACAAGGAATATCTGGGAGAGACACGTAAAAGATGGAAAGGCTACAATGATTGTTCAGCATATGCAAATTTCACAATAATTCTAATTTTTCTTGAAAAGTCCTTTCCTGATTTAAATTCCAGAGTACTTGTGTTTACTTTTTGCTTGTTCTACCAGCCAAGAGGGAACCATATTGGCTTGACACACTCACTTTAGAACTGGTTCTACCTACTGTTTTTGTGCATAACATCCAGTTACAATTCCTTCATTTGTTATTTCATGCGGTTTTCCGTGTTTTCTTTTGCCTCTCGCCAGTCTGTAGCCATAGGGAGGTTGGAGACAGATAGCTCTGAAAATCTTAACTTCTTATAAGGAGAAGGTCTTGGTAAAAGCTAAAAGGGTTAGGGAAGGGAAAGAAAACTTACAGGGGAAAGCCTCACTGGTAAGGAGGAGAAAGAGGAAATGTCTTGTGAGATCAGTCCATGCTTTGCATACACAACTGTCAATGAATCACCACTAGCTATCAACAGAATTAAAGATGTTCTTTGGAACAGAGACATACTGTCTTCAAGTTCTTGCTGCAAATAAGATCTGTTAGAAGCTTTCCCTGATACCAAAAAGAATTTAAATTTACAAGAAAAAACAAAACCAACAGTCACTCTTGGAGTTAGATTCTTAACACAGAGACACACACGCTCAAGCAAATTTTTTGTATGTATTTAGGCTAAAAAACATCTGTCCTTACCACAGTTTATACCACAACGCACAATTTTCTTTGTATTGATGTCCAACAGCAAATCACACGTAATGATGAAGTTCTAAGAAAGGGAACGTCAAAGAGAACTCTATTATCTTGCGAACTATGCAAGGCAGAAGGCTGTAAGGAAGGAATGTGGACATGGAAGGTTTTACACAATTTAGTTTCTAAACTGAAATGTAGATGCTTGAGCACAAGCTTCCCAGACGTCAGAATTTTTGTTTGCCCTGCATGAAGGAGAAATGCCTTAATACTGCTGTCATCAGAGTGCCATGCTCCTGAAACTGCTGCAGAGTCCATTTGGGGAAAAATGCAGCATCTACAATTTCTGTGCCACAGACGGAGATAGCAAAATAACAATCATGTCCAAAATTCACAAAATGGAAATGCATCCAGGTTAAAAGAAGTGCTTTGGTAGTGGAAACCAGAGTTTCTCTTACTCTGTGAAGTCAAGTTGCATTTGCATGCATATTAATGAGGTATTTTGCATAAATCTATTTTTATTAATGAAGACCATCTAAACTGCCATGCCTTAAAAGAAAATCAGGCAAAAAGCCTGTTAGAGAAAATTGTTTTAATACTGCTTCAACTACATCTCTATCCATGGCACACAGGGGATATGTTTTAATTATTTCATAAGTTTTAAGTAAAAGTAACTGCGTAAACAACTGGCCTTGAGGGAAATACCCATAACTAGCTGCAGCAAAAGAGTCTATACAGGACTCTTACTTATTCTTTTGACAGTCAGAATCATTTCTGAGAAACAATGGCAATTATTTAAATTCACAAACAGTTCATACGGAAGCACACACTAGGACACAGTGGAGATATTAGATCATCTATTTAAAAGTGCTTGTTTTTTTTAGTCTGTAGCACTCTACAGACTATATAAAAAAAATCTTGGCATCTTAGGATTTTGTAGATTTTAAAGGATGGTCAGAGGTTTTTCTTGGAAACTGGCCCTTAGTCTCAGTAGCATTTTTCTGAATATGTGCATCTGCCCTCTTGTTGGCTACCGATAAAGCACACTGCTTGCTGAGCTGCTCAGAGAAGTCTGGACACACAGAACTCACAAGTGCTCTCACATGTGGTTTGCCTATTAACTGCAGAAAAAAAAGGCACAGTTTTGCTGAAATAAATTAAGAGGCAACAATTCCTCCTGGGCAGTCTTACCATTACAGTGATTATTCATATTTAACCATTTTAGGGGAAAGATATTAAAAATATTCTAGTCTATTTAGTCTTTGAGAGATCACGACAGTCTGAGCTATTTTGCAAAGCTCTATTAGAATGACTGTGAGATGCTCAGCTAGCATGAAAAGCCCACTTTTCATCTGATTCCTTCATCATGTTATTTACCTTTGACTGCACACAAATTACACAAACATCACAAAGCAATACAGCAAGCCTCAAAATGGCATAACCCTTTTTACTTGTAGCATGTGCCTTGAAACAGAAAATAGAAAAATCAATACAGTTAAATCAGATGAAATAGTCTGAATTTATGAAGTTTGGACATGCATTAATTTTAGTCTAAATGGCACATCCACTTCTGGATTGGTGGTTACTCTGGTGGTAGCACTGTGTGTTTCTCCTGAAATTCCCCTGTAACAACTGTATTTGATCAAAAGGTGTACTATATGTTGCTACTTCCACCTTAAGTAAATAAAGCCTTCTCAGTATTTAAATTAATTGCAAATTCGTCACTGCATGCAAGGGCTGGTGTTCTGATCAGCCCATCTAACAGCTACCAAAAGAATGAACATTGCAACTTGTTTTTCAAAAGGTAGTGTATGTTTGTTAATTTAATTTTCAGAAGGAATTCAAGGATAGTCAATAACTGGTAAGTGATGAGCAATCAAGAGAAAGAGCTGAGATTTCCACTGACAGAAGCAGGTTACCATCAAAGATGCATATCCAAGTACATATCCAGTGTACAACATTCCTATACCCTTTATAGGAACACTTCACGTAAAATCAAACCTGACTCTATTTCACATCATTTTATAACTTAAAAATACAAAGCAATATATTAAACCTATTCCATGGCTTGAAAGTGCTAGCCTATATACATAATATATAAAACAATATATCATTTCTACATATATTGTTTTATATATATATATTTATACACGTGCAACACAGAAGCACATCTAAACTTGCCAATGTACTGAAAAATGAATATAACAGACTGGGCTTCTCAGCCCCAACTCTTCCAATGATCTTGGCAACATCTTACAATCAGACTCTTGTGAGCTGGCAAGAAGAAGAAAAAATAGAACTTGCAACATTCATAATTCAAGCTGATTCCATTTGAAGAATTAAATTATTATTTTCATCTCTGCTTATGTCACCAAATCAGCTTACAAACCCAAATTGTTTTCTGGACTCTTAACAGTCGGAGCAGTCAACATACCCACAGCAGTAGTACATAGCTCTCCCTGTGTAAGCCAAGTACAGTACAAGCTTCCATTTAGAATGGATAAGTACATATGTACATATAAAAATATAAAGTATATATGTACACACACACATACACACACATTTCACTGGCTTAAAGAAAAGCAGAAACCATCAATCAGAATTCAACAGTAACTAAAAAAACATTAGAACTGTTTCACCTACTGGCTGACAGAAAGAGATAGAGTGCTAATAAGTTTCTATTTTAAAACACAGATATTACACAAATAAGATTATGCAAATATCCAGACATCATGAAGATAGATAGAGCAGTCCAAAAAGCTTAAAAGACAGAATATATGGATATGTCTACATAATAAATGGGTTTTTGTTTTCTCCACCAGTCCCTAAAGCTTTCAGTCTGATCTGGGTTCTCAAATCTCATTTAATGCACATTGACACCACATGTAGTCATGGCCTCCACTTTGTTGCTAAACACAAGAATGGCAGTGACATTCCCCTTTTATTTAATGTCATGATAGACAGAGCACTATCAGAAACAAAAGTTGTACTTTTATTTCCCCTGAAAGGATTTTATTTCACATCTCTCATAGTATATAAGTACCATGTTCA